GAGTTTTTTCCTGCTGGAGTTCAGGTGTTTACCTGAATTTGGGCAGCAGTCTGTTCTGACAGTCAACAGGCTTCTGCCCTGCTAGTAATCTGAAGGAGGAATACCCTGCTTCCAGAGCATAGTGAGTCTTTGGGTTTTATTTTTCTTTTTTAATGCCTTATTTTTAAAACACTATTGTAACTGATCAGATTTGTAAAGCTAAGTATATTTAGCATATTCCCTCTGTTTTTCAAACTTTTTAATTCTTGAGTTTCTGATATATACATAGAGGAAATATGTGGATCATGTTGATAAACTTTGACAGTAGGAGCAACAAACTGAGCCTGTCTTGACGTTTCTTACTGAAGATTTTAAAGTGATGAATAATACAGAGTGTTTAATTCTCTAAGAGTAATGTAAAACGCTGTTTTAATGCTTTTTAAGTCAACGTAGTGGTTCCACTAGAGATCTGTGTTGGGACTATGTAGAGGACTCTGCTGCTTTACTGGAAGTCATCACTTCCAGAGTTAACTTTTTGAGGATGAGTTCTTTACTCATTACTGCACGTTATCTACTGAAGCATAAATACATGTCCAGGAAGTCTCAGCTTCTCCATTAAACAGATACGACATAATCCATTGCCCCATAATCTGTTTGACAAGGGAAACTACTGTACGAAAGCTGCACATATTTTGTACAGAGCAAGAGTTTCTATTTTCCAGCTGAGAGATCCAGCTGGTTTATAATAGGACAGGGCTTTGTGCTCTCTTGCAGCTCCTAAAGATGCTGGGTGCCTAATATTCCTCAGAATGAGAACCTTTTCTGGGAGCTCTGAGTGCCTGTGTGCTTTGCCTTGTTTAATAATTAAAAGGGTTTTTTTACTGGGATTTTTTTTTTTTCTCTTGGAAAAGTAAAAATTATTTTGTGGTTTTGAACAGAAAGAAGATCTGGAGCCTACCACAGGCTCTTTCCAGCTCTCTCAGGAGAACATGGAATTGGCAAAAACCTCCTCTTCCTCCATGTTGTGCTGGCTTTCCATGAAAGGGAAGTGGTGCTTATCTGAAAAGAGAGGTTTAAAGTTAAATAGTTTTTACAAATACAAGTTTGTGAATTTAGTTCACTGTGCATGTGAAAACATTTTTAGATGTGTATTCTGGATCAATTCCATTGATCCAAGGGAGTGAGAGACTGCGAATAAACAGCAATAGTTGAAAAACAAAACAAAGACCCCGACAGCACAACTCTTACATTAGTTCTTTTATACTTACCATGTTGAGGGCTTTCTTCAGCAACAATATTTTGACTCTCAGTTGTCAATGTGTAAGTTTTGGTAGTTTGTTTAGTTTGCAGTTTGTAAGTTTTGGTAGTTTGTGGGATGTGTAGGCATAATCTGGAGTCATCAATAACAAAAGAACAAGATGAAACCCCCAAGCAAATGAAAAAGCAAACCTTCCATGATACGGGACCCTGGTGGTGCTTAGGGCTCTAGACTGGTGAGATCCTGTTGGTTTTGGCAGGACAGCCAACTGGCTGATACATTGGGACACAAATAGAAGTTAGAAGCAATGGAAAGAAGAGTAGAGTTCCCATTTGCTGGAGGCTCTGGTGTTCTCCATATGGTGGGTGAGTGGGTTTTGCAACACAAAAGGTCAGGGTGTCCTGTGATGTTAGTAATGGCCTGTGGCCTTGGAGGCATTTTTTATTATTGTACTTCTGTAAATTCCATGTTTCTTTCCCTCATTTACTTCCCTCTGTTTACCCAAACCACTGGATATTCCCCTGTAATCATAGTCTCTTCTGCTTTCCTTCGAAAATCCTTCATGCCTTTTTTCCCCAGTGTTCATATCCTCTCTCCATTTTGAGTCCATGCCCATGTTTTTCCTCATTTCCCATGAAGTTGCTCTCATCCTTCATTTTCTACAACCAGCCATTTCACTTTCCTGTCTTCCACTCCTGTTTTCTCCTTCTCTTGAGCTCTTTCCTCATATCTCAAACTCTGCTTCCTTTGGTTTCTCCCATAATTTCCCCCCCCGGTTTGTTTTCCTTCTCACATTCAGGCTTTCCACGTGGCATCTCTTCCTTCACCTTCCTGGTGCAGGTGACGGGCAGAGGAGGTATGGCATGTGCCTGTATGTGGTCACGAACACACAGGCATGTAAATGATGGGGATGAAGCACTCTGAATTCTGTCTCCACCATGTTTGCACCTGCCTCCTGCTGAAGGCATGGCCTCCTTCAGAAAGGCCTCAGCTCTGTGTCTCCTAAGCCTGCAGGAGTAGAAACTGCTGGAGCATTCATTCTGTCAAGAAACCAAATAGCGGTGTTATTTTTGACAAGATGCGGACTTTTGAGACTTTTTATGTTTCCCTTTCTTTAGAAAACGTTCATGTAGTAAGAAGATAGGAAGTAGGATGATGCTGTATTTCACTCCTCTTCTACCCTCTGCCTGCCCCCCTCCACCCTCCTTGATGCTTTTTGGCGTTCTTGCTGCAGTTTCACTAAACTTCGTATGTGATTATTGTTCACTTTTTTAAACCATGGCTACTGCCATTTATAAACGTTGTGCTGTTTGCTTTGCCATGTGTGATATCTGGTTTTCTTTAGGCTTAACACCTACTACTCGAGAAACAACTTTGTCGAGTTTAGTAGTATGCAGCCTGGGAGAGTATTACTACTTGTGACTTCTCAGCAGTGTGTGGTATAACATTTACCCTTTTCCGCAAATTTCCATCTGTCTCCTACATCTATTACTGAAAACTGTTACTGGCATTTCTGAATTGGAATGGATGGCTCTAGGGAGGATATTTCCTTTTTCACATTTAGCCAGCTAAATTATCAGCCCAACAAGCTATTAGTAAACAGGCTCTTGTGGGGAGGCTCTCCTCATCTTTCTCCCTCTTTTTCCCTTTCATCAGTTATAAGTATTTTCTCAATTTATTGTATGTTCTCAGCTTAACCTAACTCTTCATTAGTGCTGTGGGAAAACATTGATAGAGTATTTCATTTGAAGAATACTTAGTTCATGTACTGTACCGTACTGCAATTGCGTAGAATTATATAAAAATGTACTAATTCTCTTACAACTCATTCTTGATGACCAGGTAAAGTTAAGTATCATCCAGACCCATCTTGCTGCATGTTGGACTTGAAACTAAATTTCTGAGCAATTAGAATTGCATTATCTTTATTCATGCTAGCAGTAGCAATTTTGGTGCAGGTATCGGTCACGTAGTAAAACCCCTTCTGGTAGCATTACAAAGTAATAGAAAAGCCTTTTGATGTGAAGACTTGGAAGTCAGACCTGGGATCTGTTCCTGAAACTGTGTGGGAGTAATTCTTACTCACATTACTAACAATCCTGACTTCAATTAAATCAGATGAATCCAGGCACAGAATGGTAATTATTCTGGCATGGGAAAGCTGGCTGTTTTTTAGAGTTGTTTTTATTGATGTGTTTTAAAACCTCACTTATTCCAGTCCTTCCCCCTTTCTTTATTCTTGCACAGAAATAATCCATCACCTGTTTCTGACTGGTATTTGCAAAGTGAAAGTTTCTTCCTTTGAAGCTGAATAGAAGGAAACATCATGTCCGGCTTTCCCTGTCTGTGTATAAAATACAGTAATTCATTAAAAAATATTTATAGTAGCTAACCCTTTGATTTTCAGATTTGCTTATCTGTAAAATATCCTCAGTATTTTGTAGTCCACAAATAGGTTAAGTTCTATATTTAAGTCTTTAGATTTTGATGCTGAATCATCTATTTGTAAAGGTACATGAAAGCTAATTTAATCAGAGAAAAATTGATATAAACACTGCTTCATATTTGAAATAACTCATTAGATGATGAGTTAGTGGTGAGCCCTTTCATAGAAGCCTTTCTAAAACAGCCTTTAGCTTAACAGGGAAACTAACTCTATTTTCTGTATGTGGAAGGTTTTTTTTCCCCCTAAATTTTTTGAGTGACAATTTCTTTGTTTTGGTGTTTTTCCCTTGAGAAGCAGGGAGAGAGACAAAAAATATGAACAGAGTTCTACTATCCTTATTTCTAAGGAAGAACAAATAACAAGCGATAGCTTATAATGTAGTAACACAATCTAAAGAGACAAATGATAAATTAATGGAAACGGGTTCTTGTGTATTGTTTTGGAGACTAAGCACATTAGATTGAATTGTTTCACAACCAGCATGCCTAATTATTTTGTCTGCCACATTCATCTATTTAAATCATTCCCAACTTTTGGATTGCTGCCTAGAATATTACTGCAGTACGTGTTTCAACTGGTTATTCCCTTGTCATGTGTAACTTCACGAGGGAGGCTGATTTTCTTTGGAAAAAAGAAGTAAAAGTGAGCATTGGCAGTATGTTTATAACATCTGATAAAAAGAGATGATAGGTTTCGTAATGTTGATTTGAATGAGTTACACGTGAACTGATACTGTATTTGTCTTGTCAGGTCAGTGACTTAAAAAGTGCCTTTGTCAAGTCACTTCTATGAACGAGGACTGCTACACCAGTGTTCTCAAAATCCCGTCTTTGAGAGCCAGACTTTGCCTTCACCTTACAACTGGTGGAAGATACCTCAGCTGTCTCCATTTGCCAATGAGTTGATGGAAAACTGAAAGCAGAAAAAGAAGAATAATAATTATTGTTATTCCCAGAACATGAACAAATGACTGCATTGCTTTTTGTGTGTAATCAATACCAGCAAGCAGCCGTCAAAGAACTACTATCAAGGAGTGCCATTGCGTTGAAAGACCTTGGCTTAAAACTGGTGCATCTGTAATACAATCAACAAGCCCATGTGTTTTACAGACAGAAATGCGACTGAGCATGTTTTTTCCCAGCCAAAAGTCTACAAGCGGGACTTAATGATTGATGAGTGACTGCTTGCTGATAAACTTTCTCTGTTTATTCTGCTTTGTGTGTGTTGGACATTGTTAATCTTCCCCCACGTTTTTGTTGGTTTATTTTTTTAACTTTCTTTTCAATTGGAATAGAAATTATTTTTTCTCCCTTTTTTTTTCCTTTTTTTTTTTTTTTGTTCCCCCTCCTTTTTCTCTCCCTGTTCTTTGCCATTAGTTTTGGAAATTTCTTCAGCATAATTCACTTGACAGCAATTTCAAAATCAGCTTTTCATCATGGCTTTGAATGTTGCTCCTGTAAGAGATACAAAATGGCTAACATTAGAAGTGTGCAGGCAGTTTCAGAGGGGAACTTGTTCACGCTCTGATGAAGAATGCAAATTTGCACACCCCCCTAAAAGTTGCCAGGTTGAAAATGGAAGAGTTATTGCCTGCTTTGATTCCTTAAAGGTAAGAGAAAAAGATTGCATATGTAGTGAAAATGCAGTTACATTGTGCTGAAAGTAAATGTGAAATGATGAGTTACAACTAAATCGGGTTAATCAGAAGGGGATTTTCTTTTTTCTTGGTAAGTGCATATTAATACAAATGTTGTTTGTCGTAACTTATTTATTGAAGCTGTTAAAAGATTTCTTTCTAAGGATCTTCTTTTCCAGTGGGTTGTTTACAAAACCCGATGTGACTGTGGGACACAGGATTGCTTACAGCTGCTGAGACAATTGTATTCTCCTAAGTACATTTTATGAATTATCATTGTTTCACGGCAAATGAAAATTCACGGTGGCACAGTACTAGGCCATTACGGAGTCTTAATGAAACAAGTCATATGGAAAGAGTGCAGATTCTTTCGTTGAAATCAAGAAGTGAAAAAAGTCTATCCATTACTTAAATTTTGACAAAACAGGTTGTTTACCCTTGGTATTGTGGACTCTCAGATAAATTAGTAGCATTGATAATTACATGTATGGATAGAGTGGATAGCAGAGTAAGTTTAGAACAGAGTAAAGGGATTCTCTCCTTTAGAGGATATTTAGCAATTGTGTTATTAGGCCATCAGCTACTTCTAACTTCCTAATGACATCAGGCACGCTTTAGAAAACTATTTTAAAAGTTCTGTGAAAATACTTTGTGTACTGCATAGAAGATTAATGATCCCTTGGGATTTGGGGAGTACACAGTGTCTTCTGTGATGATACATTTGTGTTCTCGCGTTGACAGAAAGGAAAAGCTCATTTCATATAAATAATTAAAGAATGGAATTGAGCATTTCAGATTTTACTGTGAAAGTTTTAAATGTGGTTTTGTCTTTTGGGCATGGGAGAATGCCTTGGCCTGCTTTTTAAATTTAGCTCTGTAGATCAAAATTCTGGTCTGTCACCAAAAACTCCCTTACTGTAAAAAAAAACATCAGTGTGAATGAGAAGAAAATTCAGTTTTATTTGACCATGTTAATTTATTTTCATTATAACTTGTTGGTTTTTTGGTTTTGTGTTCTGGTTTGGCTTTTGGTTTTTTTTTTAGTTTTTTGGGGGGGTTGTTTGGGGTTTTTTTATGCATGCAGGATATTGTACTAGGCATCTTTCTTCTGGGCTTTCTCACTTCTTTTGAGGATTTAGAAGAAAGTGACTCAGGAAAAATGTTTTTTTTTGGGGGGAGCTGTTGTGTTCTGTATGTTCTGCAAACCGGAACAGCACCTTTGGAGTCATGGCAGGATGTCACTGAGTGCTATTAATGACCTTAATCCGTGGATTACTGCTCAATAAAGTGTAACAGCTTCTTTGTAAATGTTCTTGTGTATTGGTTGCCTGCCAATGGGATAATTTTAATTTTTTTTTTTTTTCTTTTAAGAACAAGCAGGCTAGTGTCTGCAGCAAATGGTCAATAATCAGCTTTTACAAAAACCAGGCAAGTCAGTAGAGATTTTTTAATACATATTTTAACTATTGTAAAGGCGTGGGGCTATGAGGCAGGAGGTGGACAGCAGGGCTCACTCACCCACGGGCTGGCAGGGCAGTGGTTTACAGTGCAAGAGGAGCTGCTGCTGCTGAATCATTCTGGCTGAAGCATCACTGTGCCTGTCCTTGCTGCCTGAGGCAGCATCATGCTCCCTGCCAGCATAGGGCGCTTGCAGCGGAGGTGCCGGCTATTCGAGCAGGAGACTTCTGTGGAGGGATAGCTATGACCCATGAATCAAAACTGGAGTCACAGCCTAAGCTAATAATACCATGAAGAGAAATCCTGAGGGATTGCTGTAGATAACTTACCGAGCAACAATGCTGGTTGTCAGTGGAGAGAAGTACAAAACCATGTAAGAAATGTAGTCGAAGCAAGCAGGAGTGTTTTGTTCTAGTGTGGAAGGTCATCTGCTCCCAAGGGGCCAGCTCATTCCAGCCCAGCTGTGAAGGCTAAAGCAGTGGTGCTCCATCTTGCTGCCTGTCATCACCCTCTTTCTAGGAGGCAGAAGAGAGCATACACCTGGGCTTCCCATCTTGTGTCTTCTAGTTCAGTTTGTTGGGTTAAATTGCTGGTAAAGATGGGATTATACCAAGAAGCCAGACTGCGGCCTGAAGCAGGTACCCGTGGAGGTACAGATTTCTTTCCACTAACCCTGGTGCAGGCAGAGGGAGGCCCAATAATGGGACAACAATGTCTTCAATTGCAGCTCCTCACTGCTGAGCATGAGGTGCACCCATGCATTTTACTATGATGCCTGACCCCGCAATGCATAAAAACTGTTGGGACCACGACAAGTGCATAGATAGCTCCTGGCTCTGTCATTTGGTATCCTCGCAACCATTATCTCTGTTATTCAGAAGAGTGTTTGTAAATTGCTGTATATCAAATGAGACTAGTTTGGGTTGGAGAGGACCTTAAGATCACCCAGTTCTAAGCCCCTGCCATGGGCAAGGTCACGTTCCACTAGACCAGGTTGCTCAAAGGCCTGTCCATCCTGGCCTTGAACACCGCTAGGGATGAGGCAGCCACAGCTTGCTTGGAAACAGTGTACAGTAAGAACATGCCTGGTGAGCTCAGTTTGCTTATACTAATGGTTGAGGGACTTAAGTCATTAGTCACATAAATCTACTTGATGGATAACTTTTGGAAATACTGGTGTTAATCATTCAGTTTCAGAGCAAGGCTTTGGCACTTGGCAAGGTAACTTTGCATGTAAATAGAACAGTCTAGGACTATAGATAAAATCAGAAAAACTTGAGAGTTATTTTCTTTGCTGAACATTGAATGGCTCTTAAATGCAACCAATTATTTAGAGTTTATTTACATAATATCTAGGGCTTTGGAGACTTAGTGTTTTAACTGTCTTGGTTTGGTGTACCTGCTGTAAAAAATAAATTATAACAAATATCTTGGGTCTTCTTGAATAAACATCTTCCTACCCAGAGAAGACAGAGAATATTTTTAGTCTCAGATTGAGGTATGTGTTACATTTAGGTGGTGCCTGGTAGTTACAGCTGCTCCCTAAGAAGTCAGTCAAACACAAGATACAGTGCTCTGAGACAGGCTTTCCTTTATATGATGATAAATCTAAAGAGCCCCTGTTTTCGGAAGGTACATGCACTTTCCTGCATGCTGCCTTCTTCCCAGATTTCTAGGGCAGACGAGGGAGCATGGTATTGGTATCTGCCACCTGGATCAGGCTGCCAGAGCACCAGTATGGAGATACGGGACAGAGTCCAGCAAAGGGCCACAGAGATGACACAAGGTCTGGAGCATTTCTCCTATGAGGAGCGGCTGAGGGAGCTGGGGCATGACACTGGCACAGGTTGCCCAGAAGTTGTGGTAGAATCTCCATCCTCAGAGATACTAAAAAAACATCTGGACATTGTCCTTGGACAGTTGGCTGTATATGGCTCTGCTTGAGCAGGGGTTTGGACCAGGTGACAGCCAGAAGACCTTCCAAATTCAACCATCCCATGATTGTGTGACCCAAAGCATCTTCACACTGATTTGCCTGTAGCCTCAGGGTTGTTCTAAATTAGTAACAACTGACTGAAAGAAATTGGGACTGAAGGAAATAATCCCAGCCAGGGACACCTGCCTCCATGCTGTGCCATGTTCTCTGTGCTCCCACCACTGTCTTTGTGATGGTGCTGTGCACCACGTTGTGAAGTTGATTGTGGTTAAGCCTAGGTGGTGGTTGTAGTTGCTATTGACAGAAGGGAGAGGAGCTGCATGGCACTGTGTCACTTTCTGCTGGTGATGGTTCTATGGCCTTAGGCCAGGCTTCTGGAGTAATATGATTGCATCAGAATCCAAGTTTTCCTGTATTAAAGAAGTAGGTCTTTGTAGGTCTGTTGGTTCCAAGTAAAAGGTCAACAGAATTTGATGAACGCTGTTTGCTTTTAACTCAAAGGGGATTTTTGGCTCTGAATACCTGTCCTTGCAAAACTTGACTTTAAACCCAGCAAAAGTTGCAACAGCAACTGTTGGACTGATTACAGTTTTCAGGAGCCAAAATGCTCTCTGTTGAAGACTGTCTGGGCTCTGAATATCTTTCATCTGTGACATGCTCCAGGCTAGACAGAAATAGCTAAAGACTAATGAGCCTGGTTCAGATTCAGGCCAGAAACTTGCTGATTTCAAGCCAGGTTCTGCCGCATGGGCTTCTGAGATGCAGCTCAGCATTTGTTTCTCACTCTCTCATGAAGGATTAAGCCTGTTCTGTCCTGAACAGGGCATTTTTGGGGTGTTAGGAGGGTGTAGGTGGATCCCTGTGTACCCAATGGATGGTGATGGATGTAGCAGTTTGCCAGATGTATATCCATTAGCTGGTCATAACATCACCTCCAGCAACAGGGCTCCTTCCAGCAAAAGCCTCTATGACTCAGCCAGCTGGTGCAGCCATGTGAGCACACCCAAAACTCTACTGGCCAAGTGGCCTCTGAGCTTTATGTGATGAGAGTGTCTCCAGGCTAATCTGGTTGACTGTGCCCGAGGTGAATGAAGGGGTACTTCCATGGCAAGGCCCAGAGCCCTGACAGTGGGCAGGAAGATGGAGGATGCTGAAGTAGCACTACCGGAGCCTTGTCTGCTTCCTTAAACCCTCCTGAAGCCTTTTCAGAGCTTTTATAGGCTCTCCTTTGGATTCTGCAGTGTTTGTGCAATGGGAAGGGTCTTTGAAGAGGCCTGTGTAACTGGGAAGTCTGGATTTCAGGAACTGCACCATTTATATTTTTATACTTCTTGCTGGGTACAAGTTGCTTTACTTAAAAGTGAAGAACGTAGATATAGAGCACTTAACATATCACAAAGAGATCCCTCCCTCCACTTTGGACACTGTTAAGCAAACCTGTTTTCAAGGCTTTCTTGCCCTGGTGGTAATAAAGAGCAAAATCCTTTCAAAATAATACTAATTAATACATAGTGTCTGGGACAAGAATACACAACACTTGGCTGTATTTGAGCCAGAACTGAAAACATCCAAAACGTTA